TTTTTTTTTTTTTTTTTTTTTTTTTTTTTTAAATCTCGTTGACGTGAAAGTGGCCATTAAAAAAATTTCCCAAATACAAAAATGTTGCAAAATAAACGTGCATTATCGTAATTGCTTCATGGCAATATAGACATTAATTTAAAAATAGTTCAATTAATCTTGCAAACCCTAAATTAAACTCTATCCATAATATTATGTTCAAATAGTGGATGTTAAATAGGTTTGTACAATAAGTCCAAACAAGTTTAACCACAAAATATTTATTTCTCACAATTATGAAGGGTGGAGGGTTAGAGTTAGGGCTAGGGTTAGGGTCAGGGTTAGGGTTAGGATAAGGCTCAGGGTTAGCGTTAGAGTTAGGACATTGTTTATCTTCCGATTTCGTATAGACAGTAAAGTTTTGTTTCCACCTCAGAAAGCTGCTAGTCACATGACCTAATCAAAATGGCCGACTTGGATGTGGGAGGAGTTGGATATCCATCCGAGGCTCCTACAGGCTGCAGCCAGAGGCTGCTCACCAACCCTCATTATCTGCTTAAAACCAAGCATTTCGTCATAATCTGTTCATCTTTCCATTATTTTATTTCTCTTGGAAGAATAATAGAAATAAAATTTTTGACCCTGAGTTGGGATAAACGAGTGCTCGTAGATGTTCAGGAAACCTTTGGCCTGTGAACAAGCCGATCGGCCGAGTAGTTTGTTTCTGTTTCTGCATTTAGACGCTTTTATCCAAAGTGACTTGCAAAGTAGACACAATTTTACAGTTATCATGAACATGACAATAAGTTATCTAGATGAAAATCCCCAGTCAGAATCAGTGGAGACAGTAAAAAGAGAGAGAAGGAAGCTGTTACTAAGGCTTTTAAAACTTTTGTGGCTTTTAAAGCAGTTTTTGTGGCGTTTAAAGTTGTTTTTCGTGGCTTTTAAATGAGTTTTTGGGGGCTTTTAAAGCTGCTTTTGGGGGCTTTTAAGGCAGTTTTGAAGGCTTTTATGTTTGTGTCCATTTATTTAGATGCTTTTATCCAAAGCTACTTACAAAGTAGACACAATTTTTAATTATCATCAATATGACGATAAGTTCTCTAGAGGAAAATCTCCAGTCAGAGTCAGTGGAGACATCAAAAAGAGAGAAAGACACACAGAAAGAGGAGTAGAGGGTCCAGAGTCAGGATAAGAGATGCTCTGTGGAGAGGGGGGTCATTAAGAGTTTCCTAAAGTTAGAATGGGACCTACTGTTCTTGAGGTGCCTGGTAAGTCGTTCCTCCATCTTGGAACAACACTTGAAAACATGTCTGATCGTCTAAACGTGGCATAGGCTCTAATAGAGTAGTCTAAGACTAGTAGGATACCTCCCTTCTGGGCTTTAACAAAGACTCTGATTGTCTGGAATCAGTCACAGCAACGTTTTTAAGGCGACAGAAAGGAATCCGGCTTCGGTTTTCTGTGAATTTACAGCTGGAATCTCCAAGCAAAAGCCTCACTGTGTGTGTTTATGTGTGTGTTTATGTGTGTGTGTGTGTGTGTGTGTGTCCTTGTTGCAGCATCAGAGTGAGAACCATAACTAGTTTTTAACCAACAAAGTGAGGTCTTTTTTTTAAAGTGAGGACATTTTCCTGGTCCTCACTTTATTGTGTGTGCGTGTATGTGTGTGTGCTTGTGTGTGTATGTGTGTGTGTGTGTGACACCTAGTGGGAAAATTTGAAAACTCAATCTTTCTAAGACGCTCAGAACTACTGGTCCTCAGTTTGTGAGTCCTTATACTTGGTCCTCAGTCTTCTTACAAGAATGTGTGTGTTTATGTCTGTGTGTTTATGTGTGTGTGTGTGTGTGTGTCTTCCAGGCCGTTTCAGCGCACCATCACCATGCACAAAGACAGCTCGGGACACGTAGGCTTCATCTACAAGTCTGGTAAAATCACCTCTCTGGTCAAAGACGGCTCCGCTGCCCGGAACGGGCTGCTGACCGAACATTACATCTGCGAAATCAACGGGCAGAACGTGATCGGACTAAAGGTCAGACCCCTGCTCCCGGCAGCCTTTCAGTGTGTATCCGTAAAAATTGTGTGGTAGCTTGTAGCTCCTAGTTTTGTGTGACTTTTTCAGCAACCATGCAAAAACTCAAAGAGGAGTCTGCAATTTTTTTTTATGGAGGATGTAATTTATTTATTTATTTATTTATTTATTTATTTATTCCTTCATTTATTCTTTTAATCAGTAATTTATTTATTTATTTTTATGTTTTATTTTATTTATTTATTTATTTATTTATTTATTTATTTATTTATTCATTTATTCATTTATTTATTTATTTAATCAGGACAGTGCACATTAATGAACAATCTCATACAGATTGTAAATGAGCCAGATTCTAGCATAGTTGCTAATTCGCATCTGTCGTCCTGAGGCAGGAAGAAAAAACAACACAAGATCACATAATACAATATCAGCTAAAACAGAGAGACACACGTTCAGACAATGACATTACAAAATTAGAATTAGTGATTGCATGACTGGGAACTTTTGAGAAACAGTTTAAGGTGCTTTTTAAATGTGTAAAAACTGGGACCTTCCCTGATGTTTGTTGGGAGGCTGTTTTTTCCCCCATGAACACAGCAGTAACCTGCTAACATCAGCCAGCAGAATAATTCACTTTTTCCGACATGCTGACGTTCAGGTTCATAATTCAGAGCCGTAAAACGTTATTGGGTAAGAAACTGGCTCATACTGGAGGAATAAATGACTTAAGCTCATTGTTTACACTCCGGAGTTCCAGAGGTTCCGGGGAGGTTTCTGTGATCAGTCGTCATTAAAGTACTCAAAACCAAAGGAATAAAAGGTTAAACCTGAAAATGGCTTCAGCCTGTGACAGCAAAGCTGGATCAGGTCACAGAAGGGCTGAGGCTCCATTATTCAGTCATAAAATTACGTTTCTCCAAGTTATATCTGCGAGAAACCTCCAAACCCTTTTTTTTGGTCAGATCTTTGACCGTGCAGTTGCCTTTTTCTGCCACCGGAGGGCGCTGTTTAGCTACAGCCCGTGTAAAGAAGCCGGTGGCAGTCTGTGTTTTAAGTGCAATCAAAACCTGAAATGACAAAAGAAAACTGAGACAGAGGAGCTGAGGTGGATTAAAGAGGATTTAAGTCAAGCTAATTAAAACAACGTTGGAAAAAAAACAGAAAAGTGCTTTTAGCTAAATAAATGGAGATAAAAAGCGGCTCCGTGCACGCCTTTAACCCTTTAAAGCCTGATCCAAGAATAAAACAAAACAGAAAATTCCTTTTTTTTTTGTTTAAATTCCTTATTTGGCCTTTTGACTAAATATGTAAAAAGAAAAATACATATTTAATATTAATAGTGTTTATCCCCAAAGGCGCTGATTTTTATTGG